GATGGGTCAGTGTAATAGATTGAAAAGAAACGGATATTTTAACTTAGCCAAGAGTTAAAGGAGAGATAGAGCAAAGAAGATGCTGAATGTTTCTGCCACCTCAAAGGCTCCTAGTCAATTGAGTACAAAGAAGAGTTCAAAGGCAAGGCAGGCTCCTGACTTCCACCTCCTAGTGTGGCTGAGGTTAGAGGTCACTGCTGGTGGAGCCACTGACCAATAAAAGAATGTTTGGAAACTCCGCTCAACAGATAAACTGGGGATCCGTTTACGCCTTCCCCCCATCCACACAAACACTTCTAACTATACAGTCCAGTGTCTATTCAGCCCTCCAATAACCCAGATTGCTTTCTTTTCCATTGTGATTCAAAGGGAGACTGGGGATGTGAATGTGCCATATGACTATAGAAGAATACTTGGTTGCATACTTCTTCCTGGTTTCCAACGTGAGAAAGATGGTTGACGGGACTCCCCATCTTTAAGGCTTCCATCAAATGCGACCTCCCCAATAAAGCTGTCCCTAACAGCTCTAACCTGTACTGCCTCCCATGTCAGACCCCTGACATCCTTTGGAAAACTTGCACCATCTCAGCTTTCTTCGGGCTTATACCCACATATCCCCAAGATGGCTGTTAGGCCTCTGTGAGTGGGGATCACAGGTTGCTTATCATCTCCCGTCATCTCCCCTTGGGGCAAGAACCTAATTAGGGCTGCACTGAATTAATTAACTAATTAATTTAGCTCATAGGACAATTAAAGGCTGACTGGTAAGTTGGCTTTATACTGCTGTAACTATTAACCTCTCGTTGAAGTAACTGGTTTTTAACTTAACCACAAAAAACCCCAGAAGCCACCCCAGCTCTTTCAATGCCATATATGCCAGTACTGCTGGCTGTTCGCCTTTAGGGGTAGATAACACAGATGCAGGTTGTACTTCAAAAATCTTAGCTTGACCTCAGCTCTTACTTCAGGGTCTAGCCCTGCATTTAACGTTATGGCTGCTTCACTAGCGCATCTAAGGTCAGGTGGAAAACTTAATTAGGTTGCCTTGTCAGGCAGAATATCCTTCTCTTTTGGTACATCCTAACTCCCGAGTCACGTTAAGGATTTTCACCATGTATTCATCGATCAGATTATAGCCCCTGAACTCTAAGCTGCAAAAAGTTACTGCAATACCTTCATCACCAAGATCCCACCCCACATCTCTGGGGTCAATTCAGAAACTCTGGCTCTATTCCATCACAGGAGAGCAGAATCCTGTGCTAAGTGCAGGAAGGAGCGGGTCCCGAGAGAGCGGCTCTGAGGACAATGTCAATGTAGCTCACAGCACTTAGGAGTTCTTGGAAACAAATACTCAAAAGGAAAAAGAGTCACTTAAAAGCGGATGGAGCCCCCTGCTGGCTACAACTGTCCACGCAGGCCCTTGAGCCGGTTCTGAGTTGCTGAGCAAGAAAATCAGACCCTCTGTTCCTCGGTCTCAGCTCATTCTAACATGATCAACCAGGGGTTCCAAGGTATCAGCTACCGATGCAACAGGTTTTCCCCTAAAAGTTTATGCCTGTCTTACAAAAAAGACTCAAATTTGACCTCCCTAAAGAGAATTCACTAAGGTGTAAAAACTTTCCAGAACCAAGTGTGTGCTATTTTTTCAGTTACTCCTGCCAAGGTCAGATTAAATCAATGGAGGGTATACAGAAGGCAAAATGACAAGCATATTCTGGAAAGGACAAAAGAGAGAGATGATTAACTATCAATAGAGAAGTGGTTCCCAAGCACAGAAATTTTGCTCCATGGGGGGCATCTGGTAACGTCTAGAGACACTGCCAGTTGTCACAATTCGGGAGACAGGGGTACTGCTGGCTGGCATCTGGCAGCTGAACTTACTCATCCTTTATAACTATCTGGGAATTGCTTCAACCAGATAATCTCACCTTTAGTTGAGATCAGTCCAGTCTAGAAATGTGAGCTTGGGAGAAGAAAAGAGGTCGTCTTGGAGACGCAGAATATTCAGAGAAAGGGGAGCAGGACTAAACGGGACATGGCAGCAGAGTGCCAGAAGGTCTGAGAACAGCACAGAGAAAAGGGGCATCAGCAAGCAGAGGGAGATTTAGAATGGGAGGCAGGAAAGTACCAAGACTGCCTTTATCCTCCAAGTTGACATAATGTAGGTTATTCACCACCAGAGACAGTAACTGGCCCTCATGACAGGAGGTGGTCATGGGAAAGAGATGACCACTTAATTATTAATGTTGCCAAGAACAAGAGTTTCACAGCGTTTTTAAACAGCTGAATGGAACATGAGAGATGTTCTAGCCAACGCCTTGATTTCATAAATGAGGAAAGGAAAGTCCAAGGAGCTTTGGTAACTTGTCATGTTGTATAATTAACAGGGACAGACCCAGCACTCAAACTCGAGTCTTTTGACTCCAAGTGTGTCTCTTTGAACCAAAATAACCTAAAAGTACACTGTTTTAAGTAACCTTTAGTCATTCCATCTCAACGGTTCTATGATTCTGAGCCTGTCACCGAAAAGGCCGGCCAGGCTCATCTCAGACCTATGGTTCCCAAACCAAGCTCCCGGAAAACAAGGGCATTCTGTGAGCTGACAGTGGGAGCTCTGCTTGGGAACTAAGTGATTCTCCTTCCAACACGAAGGTGGCCGGGGGGAGAAGGTAACTGGACAGAACTTGCTCATTTTTACCTACCCAGTGTTTTCTTAGCCTTTTAGACTAAATCTAGAAAAAGATGGTATCTGATTTAGCAGATGATTTTCTATTTAATTATGTCAACAAATCAAGATGCCATAAAAAGAAACACAAAGAGCATAAACACCAGCGCCCTTCAAGGAGCATTTTCTTCTACATGAGTTGTAAGAATCACAGGTTTAGATCAAGAACGTAGAGATCTCTAGACTGACTTTCTAATTCACTAAAACTCAGATGAGGTCAGGAATTAAGTAACACACGGGGAAGCCCAGAAACTTAAAACGAACATGGGTGTGCTATGAAAAAACTTCAGGGAGGCTAAACTCAACCTGTGATTTGTTTTCAAATCAGAACACCAAAATGTTTTACAGATGAGGCTACTGAGGTCCAGAGAAGGCAGATCCTTGGCCAAGGGCACAGAGTTAGTAACTGGGCAAGCTGGCATTCAACACAGGCAGTCTGGGGTAAGAACCTACAGACTTAATTACTGTGTGATGTGCCATCTCTTTGGTTTAAGAAGCTCGGTACCAAAATAAAGAGGTGGACTGACCACATTCACTAACTCCCTCCTAAAACCCTAAAATGACAATTAAGGGGAATTTTTAAAAATTAAGGCATAATCACTGAAAGATAAAGAGAACGGGGAAGGAGATAACAGCAACAAAATGTGGAAGCGGAAAAGCAGAAGGAAAGGTGGTAGCTGACGCTATAGACCCAAGAGAGCACATCCTAGATCAGCTGAGAAAAATCTGGGTTCCGCTGCAGAAACTCAGGGGAAAAGGCAGTGCTCAGGGCAGGCAGGAGGACAGATGGAAAATGTATTTAGGAAGCAGTTAGAAGCCCAGAATTCCTCCCCATTCCACACACAGCTGGGTGACTGCCCTGCCCTAGCCCAGACAGGGCTTGAGGCTCGTTCCTGGGACAAGGTTAGACACAGGGGTGCACGGGGCAGTTACATCCTCAACGCTGAGAGCCCTCCGAACCTCTTCTCCGGCTCAGCACCTACATATATAATTTTGATAGAAATAAAAATTTGTTAAAATCCATTAAAAAAAAAAAAAGAACTAGAGAAAACCATAATCTGAAAGGATACATATATCCCAGTATTCACTGCGGCTGTTTACAATAGTCAAGACATGGAAGTAACCTAAATGTCCATCAACAGATGAACGGATAAAGAAGATGTGGTACATATATACAATGGAATATTACTCAGCCATAAAAAAGAATGAAGTAATGCCATTTGCAGCAACATGGATGGACCCAGAGATTATCATACTAAGTGAAGTAAGTCAGACAGAGAAAGACAAATATCATATGATATCACTTATATGTGGAATCCACAAAAATGGTACAAATAAACTTATTTATAAAACAGAAACAGAGGGACTTCGTTGGCGGTCCAGTGGTTAAGACCCCGTGCTTCCAGTGCAGGGGGCGTTTGGTCCCTGGTTAGGGAACTAAGATCCCACATGCTGCGCTGCGTGCCACACCGCGCGGCCAAAAAAATAAATAAATAGAGTGGATATATGTATGTGTATAACTGAGTCACTGTACAGTAGAAGCTAACACAACATTGTAAATCAACTATGCACCAATAACAATTTTAAAAAAAAGAAAGAAAGGAAAAAAAGAAATAGGAACAACATGCACAGTACCAATACTGGGACAGTCTTTTTTCAGTTTTTAACCTGCTTCATATTTAAGCCCAACTAAACTTCTTTTGGGAGAGAGAAAGGGCAGTAGGACTAAACAGGACACGTGGTGGATGCGTTAGACAGTGGAAAGCAGCGCAGGGGAAGGGGCATCAGAGGGTGGACGAGAGACCTGGGAGGGGAAGAGGGAGGGTGTATGTGCTCTGGGGAGAGGAGGGCACCTCCTAATCACGAGGGCCGCTGAAGGGGGGATCCAGGCCAGCTGACACCAAGACACTCTCCTCAGAAGCATCACCCTGAAACGTGCTGGCTTCCACAGCTGCCTCAGTCACCAGAACCCTCACCTGCCAGGTAAACCACCTTCCAGAGAGGGGCAGCTCTGCGTCCTGAGCACACCGCTGAGGTGTGACCCTAGCGTCACAGCATGCTTACCTCAGGAGCATTTCTGAATCTCTGATAGTTATTATTCCAAACCTTACCTGATGCAACTCCCTAACACTGCTTTCCTGTTTTAAGTTTGGTTGGTCAACGTAGTGGAGGAAATAAATCCCACTCCCACACTCAGCAGCCATCACTCTGTACCCAGGGCCACCCTTTCACGTCACCCACGCCCCCTCCCCAACAGGGCTGCCTGGCCCCTTACCTGTCTCTGCATTTCTTCAATCTGTCTTTGGGGGATGCTCTGCAGAATACTGTACACATCTGACATCTTTTCTTCTGGCACAGCCACCGATGCTCTAGAGACAAGAGCAAAACAACTGATGGACACGCAGCCCCGTACACAAAGCACTGCTACGTACATTTCTTGTTTAATTCTCACAAGCAGAAGCAACAACACCCCACAACACGCTCAGCCTCACAGTCCTTTTGCAGTGAGTAGTCCCTCTTCCTTGCCCCTGTTGCAGGGCTGACCAGCTCAAAGGAGCTCCCACCAGCTCCATCGCTCAGCTCCCCAGCACCACTCCATTCATCTCCCATCCTCCACCCACTCCCCACTGCGCTTCAGCCACACAGGTACCCTCTCAGTCTCCTGGACACGGCACACTCTGCCTATAACCACAAGGGCCCTGCGTGTCCGATTCTGCCCACCTGCTGCCCTTCTTCCCTCTGCACTGCCCGCTCTGAATTCACAGTGACTCTTCTCCCTGAGCGACAGTCCCCGATCCATTCATTTACTCAGCATACATTTATGGAGCCCCTGCTCTGTGCTAGGTCCTGGCAATACGACAGTGAACAAATCAGCCATGGAAGGAAGGCCAGGGAGAGAGAGGACCAGGGGAATACCCGAGGGAGAGCATTCCAGAAGGAACAATAAGCAAAAGGCCCTGAGGAAGCGGGGTGTCGGGAATGCTCCAGCAACAGCAAGGAGGCCAGTGTGGCAGGAGCACAGTAAAGAAGGTGGAGAATACCAGGCAATGAAGAGAAACAGGGGAGGGAGGGTCACAGCAAAGCCTCTGGGGCCTCCCTGGCCATTTAAGGACTCACGCTTTCACTGAGATAGAAAACCACAGAAGGTGTCAGGAAAGCACAGCATGATCTGGTTATGTTCCAACAGGATCATTCTGCTTGAAGTGTTAGAACAAACTACAGAAAGCAGGAGCGGAAGCAGGGAGAACAGCTGGGGCCCATTGCACGGTCCAGGCAAGGGATGCTAAGAGGGAGGAAGTGATGAAAGTGACGAGGGAGCGGAGCCAGTAGGACGTGCCACCAGATTAGAGATGCTGGGTAAGGGAGAGGGGGCTCGATGACGACTTACCTACCCTTCATGGATTCAGCAGAGTTAGTCATTATAGTCGTCTAGGTTAATTTATTAAAATCTGAGACACCCTCCGCCCACTAGCCTAGTCCATTAGGATGGAACCACGTCTGGTCCCACTCACCAGCATATCCCGAGCACCTGGCATATTGCCTAGCGCAACTGCACTTAATAAATACTTGTTAAATAAGTAAATGATTTCTACCACACAGATGGGAAAACTGAGGCTCAAAAGGTTAAAATGATTGGCAAGATCACAAAGCTAGCCAGTAATAGAGCTGGTTATCTGAACCCCAGCCTTCCGGCTTCAAATCCAGAGCCCTTCCACTACTTAACCCTAATTACAACTACCCAAGCACATCTAGATCCTCATAGGAATGAATATCTTCTCAGACTCAGCTCAGGGTCACTGTCTCTGCAAAGCCCTACCCAACCCCACAGCCAGCAAGGGTATGTGGCTCTTCCTCCCCCTCCAAGCATCCCATCCAGCCAGGGCTGCAACTCAGCTTTCCATCTGGTAATCACTGGCTTACTTGTCTATCTCCCACCACTGGACTAAGAGCTTCTCAGAGGCAAGACCTGACCTTGATCATCTTTGTATCCCCATACGCAACACAGTACCTGGCAAAGAGAGGGTGCTCAATACATATTTCCACAGATGAATAAGTGACTGGAAGTGGCTCATCACTTCTCCAGGACACAGAGAATCACACACCCTCCTCCTCCAGGCTGAACTGGGCTCCCTCCCTCTTCTGGGTTTCCATAGCCCCCCCTGCATGCATCTTTTACAGCATTTATCATACAATATTATAATTGTTGGTTTGTCTTCCCCACTGGATTCTCATCTCCTTAAGAGCAGAGCCTGTATTATTCACGGAGGGCTTTCCAGTAAATGTGAGATAAATGAATGTACACATGAGTGAATGCTACTTAAATTGTTCAAATACCTGTGGTGACCAGTCTTGAACAGGGTATCAAAAAAGGTGGGAGGGGCTTCCCTGGTGGCGCAGTGGTTGAGAGTCCGCCTGCCGATGCAGGGGACACGATAAACAAATCTGCCATTCACCTCTCATACGTACCCTATGATCTTATGCACGGTGAAGAGTCATTTCCGTTCAAAGAATGAGGAAACTGAGAATACAGTGTTGAAATGATGTCACACACAAAATTAATGATTGATTTGCAGGCAACTTCCCTGCTTTCATCTAATATGGCCTAAAATTACTTTAGCTGCCTTCTAAGTATGAACCTACATCCCTTTATATTTTGGGCATGTCCAGATAAAAAAAAAAAAAAAAAAAAAAAGGTGGGAGAGGAGAAAGCAATTAAGCATTTGAGGCAAAGACAAGCCTGAGAGGTATGTACAAAAGGAACTCGTTTTCAAAAACCTTCAACCTCCAAAGTCCTGGGGAAATGAAACCACAAGAGACGAGCAGACTATTCCGTGAAGCACAGCACTGACAGTCGTATCGAGGCAGGACCCACGCGTGTCCATCAGTCCACTGGGAGTGTTTCTAAGCTTTCACCCGTGTGCAGGCGCTCTGCCTCCAGCCAGTACTTTATGCAAATTCAACAGACTCTAGAGCAGTGGTTCTCAACGGTGGCTACAAATCAGAATTGCCCATGGAGCTTCAAAAGTCCTGAGGACAAGGCCCAGGTACGTGTTTAAAAGTTCTTCAGGTGAGTACACTGTACAGTCACAGCTGAGAACCACTGCTCTAGGTCAAGGGTAAATGGCCAGATGGTAAATATTTTAGGTTTTGCAGGCCATGTAATCTCTGTCATTTTAAACTACAGTACTCAACTCTGCCACCGTCACTCAAAAACAGCCAAAGATCACGTGTAAATGAATGGGTATGCTGTGATTCAATAAAACTTTATTTACAAACGCTGGCAGCCTGCCATATTTGGCCCAAAGGCCTGTTGGCCAACCTCGGCTCCAGGCCAACGGACTAACTCTCCTTATGGAAAATATAGCAAAAACAGTCTGAAGGAGTAGTTCTCCAACCTAGCTATGCGTTACAATTGCTGGGGGGACTTTTAAAATCTAATCCATGCAGGACTCCTGGTGTAAAGTTTATCAGAAGGTAACACCCACCTCTTCCAGTCAAGAACTTCAGAGAAAGGCAAAATGTAGGAGTCTGCAATGATAACTGGGATACAGCCGGCCCGCAACACGTCACTCAACACCGCCTGGCCCAGCCGAGCTCCTCGAAGGACCACACAAAAAGTAGCCTCCTGCAGGAATACAGGCAGAGGGAGGGATTACATACCAGTTTCACTGATCCACTTACTCTGATTCCCGTTGACCATGAAGTTCTCTCAAGGGCTGAAGCCAAGCAACACCAAAAATGCTGAAAGGTAACAGGTCACACCAGTAAGACTGAAAAGCTTAAGTGGCTGCAATGTTCTGGTTTTCCACTCTTCAGTGTCAGCGCAATGCCTCCACTGCTGGCATTCTGAAAATGTTCACGACCCACGTCTAGGTCTTCCTCTGGACACTCAACAACGTGACTTTGCAAGGGCTGGATTCTTTCCGTCCTAGTGTGCTGTGTACACACACTGTGGCACAGTGGCTGCACAGCGCTCAGAATACTTACCTCCGCCTACCTTGTTATAGAATTATTTGATCTGGGCCTAGCAGTCTCCCTAGAGGACCCCCTAAATAGAAAGTATCAAATCTCCTTTCATCTTTCTACTCCCCATGGCATCTAGCAGTGTGCTTTGCATATAGAAGTCATTCATTTCATGAGTGCAATGCCTTAAAAAACATAGTAAGACAGATATGTTCTATTTAGAAATAATCGAACAAAAAGCAAAATTCTCAAAAAATTTCTTCCTCGTTCACTCCCTCAAACTTGTACTCGATGTGGGACACATTTGGGAAAGTGAGAGGTGTACACAAGAAGAAACAGCTGCAATAAGTCAACCAAAATAAGAAAAGACCCCATTTCTAATACTCAGTTTCTCCCAGTTTTTGCCTCTTCAGGAGGAAAAAAAGTTAAAAAACAAAACACTGTTTAATCTTTAAAGCTAGAGAGAAGGAAAGTTCAGAAAAAATATGAAGAAACTCAACATGCCAAATTCCTCCGGGGATAAACCAGAAAACAGCAAGAGTGGAAAAAGGGCATCAGTCATGGTGGAGGTGCAGGTGGACAGCTCAGCTGGCCCCAAAGAGTCGGTGTCCAGATGTGGACACACGTGCTGATAACCATTTTTCCTGTCTAGACAAAGGTTACTATAAATACTCCTGCTCACATCACCACTGTTATCAGTCAGACATTCCAGAGGAGATGCAGCACTTTTTGAAAGAAAGTATTTTAACAATCTCAGCATGGGCCAGTACTCTTTGGAGATTTTAAAAAAAAAAAAAAAAAAAAAAAAAAAAATCTCACCAGCTCCTTGATATTTTTCCTTGAACTAACCTGTCTGTATTTTAAATATTTAAGTGAACAAAACTCAATTTCTCCTTTCCTAGCCTCCAGGCCCTTGGAGTGTGAAATATCCTGCTTATAAAACATCCCCCAAAGGACTACTCTGCTTCTGGTTATGGAAGCCCTGCCACTTCCACAATACCAGTAGGACATGCTAAGGGCGGCAAAAACACCAAGAGACAAAACGGTAACAAAAAATAAAAACCTCCCACTCAGGAAAAGCTGACCATGGCCTTGCGGGTTGGCACAGTCAGAGGATACAAGCTGCACCTTAGAGAAGCAAGTTTCTCTGGGCTGGATTATGAATACAGTGATAAAGGCAAAATACATATGCCTGCTTTGTCTATGTGGTTTTTTTGTAAATCTATGGGATTTGTGCTTTTGCAGTAAGATGAATATTTGAAAGGAGTAGGAACGCTCATAGGCCAAGCAGCTTTGCACAAACAGTACACAGATGCCAAAGCTCCTGGAGGTCCATGGCTGCAGTGAAGAGCGGTCTGTCTTCCTCTCCCCTTGGGGAGCTCTGGTAGCTGAACGTGGGAAACACCTGTCTGTTGGGGTCAGTTTCACCTTGCGGATGTGACCTGTGCCGAGCCCCGAGAGAGGTGCTGGGTGGCACTCACCTGCAGCACCTGTGGGTAATCGAAGACCTGGTGCTTGTGGCAGCGCTTTCGGGCGGCGGGGATGCCCTCGGAGAGGTTGGTGCACTTGTCCAGGACTAAGGCCGCTTCTCCGTGTCTGGCCTGGAGGGCGGCCAGCTCCTCTCTGTACTCGGGATGCAGAGCCATCTGGGACGACAGGAGGAAGTACCGCCGTGGCCTACGAAGGACAAGACGAGGGACTGGGACCTTGCAGCCGCTGTGCAGGTCAAGGTGAGACCAACTTTGATATTAAACTTAATGGCAATAAGTATTTTCTCACCCTTCTTTATTCACATCCTTGACTTTTTGGGAAATTATACTCTGTGGCATTGCTGAATATCTAAAATATTATACAATCTAAGAAAGCAATCTATGTCTCATTCACATGCTGAAGCGTCATGCTGTCATTAAAGATTTCATTTGGGAAAAGTTCTTAATGTTTTGAGGAAATGCTTATAATATGCCGAGCTAAGGGAACATGCTTTACGTGTGTGTGTATGTATATGTGTAAAGACAGAAACTGACTGACTGGTTGATTATTTGGAAGAACATCAAATGTTATCATTAGTTCTATATGAGTTCTCGGCTCTGAAAAGGAACTGAGAGCGGGCTGCATCCTTCAAACAGGAAAACAAGGGGTCTTAATGGACAGCAGTGGCTGTGAAAGCAGAATAGGTGAAAGACTGCTTCTGGCTGTTGAGTGGCACTCTATGCCACTCAACATCCCCGTCCTCAAGGCCACAGGGATTCAGGAAGACCAAACTGGTCATTGAGAACAAGTGGAAAAAACCATCTTCACCAAGGGATAGAACCAGTCTTAACATCTGGATAGCAAGGATGCTTACAAGAAAATGGAGTGAAAGGAGGATTTCCAAGAAGCTAGCGCCATTTAAATCTCCACGAGAGACAAAACGTGAGCACAAAGTGAGTAAGCCAGGAGTTGGGGGAAGACTCTGGGGAGATCAGATGGTAAGTAATTCCCTCCCGCAGGCAGACAGGTTACAGAGCATAAACACGACATGGGCTGAGGGACCAGCAGGATCACTGTAGAAGAAAGGAAGAATATAAAGCAGGTTCCAGAGGAAATGAAACCCCCATCAGACCTAGAAGCAGGACTCACTCAAATCTACCTCAAACTGGTACAGACCAGGGAAAATACTGAACATACACCTCTCTAGGTACTGCCACCAGGGAAGGCCACAGTCTGAACCCCACTCCCCACACTACCGCTTTCCTTCTTGCTTTGGGAGAAAGAAAGGGTAATTGTCTTGTTTTTCCATTGTTTCTCAGGCTTATCTGGAGGGTCCAGCTGGAGAACACCGTATACATCCACCCATGGCCAAAGAATAATCATTCTCTAACGGAGAAGGTGGCACCTTCCCAAGCATTAAGCTTCATGCCCACAAGACACAGAGCAGTGATTGAGAAGGTGAACACTCTCCCTGCCAGCAGTTCAGCTCAACAGAGCAGCAGTCACCATAGCTGTGCACGGCTCTCAAATCCTCAGAGCCATTTCTTCTGGTCATTTCTTTCTACAGCTGAACTAAAAGCAAAGGGTGTTGCCCACACCACAGGGAGGAAAGAAAGGGACAAGCAGATTCCCTAGAACTTCACTGCCCAACAGCAGTTAGCCACATGAGATCATTTAAATCTATTAAAATTTAAAATCCAGTTCCTCAGTCACATTAGCCACATTTCAAGCGCTCAACAGCCGTATGTGGCCAGTGGGCACCTGACAGCACAAATACAGATCATCTCCTCACTGAAAGTTCTATTTGAGAAAGCTGCCCTGGACGGTAGTGCAGACCCCGAGCCCGGGGTAGAGGCAAGCAGAGGTAAGAGAGACATGGAACAGCAGCCCGTCAGGGAGAGAGTGTGGATCAGCTGTAGCAACTGGTTTCTCTCATCCTGGGCAACTTCCCCCTAAATCACGTTTTATTGAACAATACACTGTATATTTACAGCCAAAAGTATTCCTTCTAGCCACTGAAACAGACTCTTGAATTCTACTCCCAGCCCTGAGCCTCAATTATTTTTCTTTTGTAAAAGCAATTTTAATTTTCAGAGGGAGGACTTATGATGGGAAGATCACATACAGGGAGCACTCTCAGATCATCTCAAAGTGAAGACCGCCTCCATTCAAAGTACTTCTGTAACCAAACTTGTCTGTTTAAACAGGAGGAAGATTTACAGTCAAGCTCCCAAGACAAGCACGGAAACCACCTTAACAATTAAAGCCATTTGAAAATGAAATGAACTGTCTTGTGAGGGGCCGAGTCCTTTTTATTACAAATCAGAAGACTTTTCATTAAGAAGTAATAGCAAAAGGTACACATTAAGTTAGAGCTGAATGGCATCTAAAGGCCTTTCCAATTCCCAAGACACTGGTTCTACGGTGGACGTCCTGGAGCCCTGGGACTCGCTGGGTATTTCTGGAGATCTTCTATTTAAGTAACATAAAACTGGTGCTCCGGGCTGCTAAGAACAAGAATAGACATGCTGGTATCCAAGGGGGTGTCCCTGCAGGAGGCGGTAGAGTGCTGGAGGGAAGAGGGTGCTTCTGCACAGCGGGGGTGGCCCGCCCACAGGGAATGCGAAGTCTTGGGGGGGGGGAAGAGCTGCTACTTGGGGGAAGAGCAGGGAGGTGGCCTGGCACAGAGTACGAGATCCCTAAAAGAGTGACAGGGGAAGGGGTAGAGGTAGTTATGGCCCCCCAGCATGGGATGCTGAGACCAGGTGAGGTTAGGAGGGCATCTGGGCAGCCCAGGAGAGTGTTAGAGGCCGGGCAGGCTGAAAGAGCGGGGGAGGGTGATGGCAAGAGTAGCATCACTCCAGTGGTGGGGGGGGCGGTCAGACTCAAGAAGGGTGAGGAGGGTATCTGTCCTGGGGTGATGGGGAGAGCAGGAGCGCTACATGAGGGTCAGAGTCTGAGTGGGCGTGGAGAGGGCATCTGTACAGTGAGGGGGCAGCGGCAACAACGCGATAGAATTCTGGTCCCATACAAGAGGGCTGATCAGATAAGATACTGAGGATAAGGGGAGCCAGATTTCTCACTGTCAGAGAAGGGAATTACAAATATGTAAAGAGAGGGAATTCCCTGGCGGTCCAGTGGTTAGGACTCCGCGCTTTCACTGCCAACGGACCAGGTTCGAGACCTGGTTGGGGAGCTAGGATCCTGCAAGAGGCGCAGTGGGGGGAAAAAAAAAAAAAATATATATATATATACATACATATATATATGGAAAGAGAGAAAACCAGAATGCCCGAGGTGTTGGATGGAATTGAAGATACCGATATGAACGCATGGTTTTCAATACATGTAGACACACACACACACAGAGAGAGAGAGAGAGAGAGAGAGAGAGAGAGAGAGAGAGAGAGAGAGAGAGATCCATCTATATAGACAGAGAAATAAATACAGACGCTAACGTGTGGTGCTCAAAGAAATTCTTGAGTAAAGAAAGGCTCCGGGTTGGATTTCACTGTTAAGAACACAGTTCTATTTTTAGACACTCAGCCACCAGGCTCCCTGGGTCCCCACCTACCACTACCATCTTCTACATAAATGTGCAGATGTGAACAAGAGTGTAAAAATGTTCCCCCTGCCTGCATGCTGGCTCTCCCTGACCCGGCAGATGGTTGGTTGATGGAGCAGGCCCATTTTAGTTTTAAGCAAACAAAATCTTAAGGTGGATTTGTTTTTCTTTCAAGGACTAAAATTACCAGCTATGACTTTCATGTTTCCTCCCAGCAGTGCTGATATCGAAGCTTAAGTAAAATCAAGCTGAGAACTCTAAGTCTCCCTCAATAGTAACAGTTGTAAACTCCCAATTTAGTTCCTTTTAGAGAGAAAATGACAAGAATTCCAGCTGAGGCCAACACAGCTGTGAGAAGAAGCTATCAACAGCAGCGGTCCTCAGCTTCCCACTGAAAAATACTGAGAGATTTAAAATAAAAACAAAGCTCTTACTACTCTACAGCCCTCAAGAGATGTGGGAATTCCCTTAAAAAGCAACTCTCACAAAGAGCAACAGATGCCAAATGTTGCCGCGAGGTCACCCACACTGCCTCCTCCCAAGTCCCTAGCAAGTGTGATGAGTCTGGAGCCTGTCTTTGCTTTGCTTTGCTTTTTCCCCCCTTTTTTTTCAGAGGGAGAGGAGTGTTGTTTGTAAAAGAAACACAACTGCAGGTCCAGACTGCAAAATCGGTGGGGAAATGGAGAGGGCGGGTCCCGGTCGGCCGTAGAAATCCACCCCTTGGCCAGCAGGGGGAGGACCACGCCCATCGCAGCCTTTAGTGTCCTGCTGCCCTTGAAGGTAGAGCGCTACTCTATCTAGTTACTGAACCTCAGAAGTTTAGAAATCAACTGCAGCCTTAAGCCATCTAAAGATCTTAATTTCAGCCTAGTTATACATAAAAATTAGAGATTATGTTACCGAGAAAACAGCCTGTAAATCTTTGGAACTACTCTTTGAAGGTAATTACTGTTCAGAGTGGTTTGCTCTCCCTTGTTTCATCTTCACTGAATCTTTTCCTTTCGGTATGTTTTCTTCCCTGGATTAAGTCTAAAGGGAAGTGACAGTCCTAAACCAATATAAGAGAGCTAGGGACGTCCCTGGTAGCGCAGTGGTTAAGAATCTGCCTGCCAATGCAGGGGGCACGGGTTCGAGCCCTGGTCCAGGAAGATCCCACATGCCTTGGAGCAACTAAGCCCGTGCGCCACAACTACTGAGCCTGCGCTCTAGAGCCCGCCAGCTTCAACTACTGAGCCCACATGCCATAACTACTGAAGCCCGCGCACCTAGAGCCCGTGCTCCGCAACAAGAGAAGCCACTGCAACGAGAAGCCCGCGCACCGCAACAACAAAGAGTAGCCCCCGCTCACCACAACTAGAGAAAGCCCGTGCGCAGCAACGAAGACAAAACACAGCCAAAAATAAATAAATAAATAAATAAATTTATTTTAAAAAAAGAGAGCTAGATTATACTCAAGAGATTACACGATAAAGAGAGTTTCGTCCGAGCAGTCTTAAGAAAGAGGCCCAGAGGCAGCTGAGCCAGCCTGCCAGATTCGCTCCTCACCTGCTCACACCCTGTCTTGCCCAGGCTTTCTCGGCCGCAGCACTGCCGACACTTGGACCCAGTGATTCTTTGTAGTGAGGGGCTGCCCCGGGCATCG